TTTTTTTTTTTTTTTTTCCTTTAAAGGTAACACACGGGTTATGAAAACCGCGACTCGCTCCAAGGTCACAATGACAGTCTGCGACTGTGTATATAGGCCATATCCACGTGAAATGCAGATGGCATTGAAGGATAAAAAATCAGCGCCTCTTGCTTTTAGAATCGGTGATCCTTGATTTGCTCGTTTCATTGGGTGGTTTCCAAATGATATCTTCAAGGTTGCTACAAAAATTTTTGTAGAACTGCAGGATAAATCCATGATTAACTGGTCAGATCCAAAAATCCAGGGAGACCAATAGCCTTACTAGATATAGATCTTACTAGAAAGTGGAAACAAGGGCTAGTCATATATGGGATAGAGGGTACCCCTAGCAACCGTGTTCAAGCAAAGATTATCAGAAGCAGGTCTTAAAGGTGATAATTGACATGCAACCACAAGATAACTGACCTTTAGGTATTCACCAGCATCACCAGCTGCTTTCTGAATGTCCACCATTAAAAAAGTAGGAGCAACCTCGAAAACCTTAAATTCAACAAAAATTGGAGTTGTCGGACCAGAAGAAAAGGGGGAAATTAGTGGGCCAAAACTAAGGGGAGATGAAGCCAAAAAGACTTACTTCCAGTATAACTGAGAAATGGGCATTCTTGTTGGCAGAAATGCCTTCCACTCTCATCTGAAAAGCAACATAATCTTAAGTCCAGATGACTATTGAATACAACCAAGCAAGATCATTGTCTTGTAAACTAAAAGATAAATAGATAGATAATAGAGTAATAGAAGGATGTATGTAGGGGAGTCAAATCAGAAAGTTGGCATTTTATCCAATAAACTAAATTTAAAAACAAATAATCTGACAAAAAAAGGAGAATTAAGTTCTCCCTTGTAGTTTACCTTATAATTGCGGATATGTGTCTTGAAACCCATTGATTGGGCAACAACTTCCATGCTAGACAGAACAACCTTTGCTGGCTTCTGTGAAACAAATCGTGTCTGATGCTTCACAGAGTCCTACCAGGAAGGATAAAAAATTCAAATATCTTTTAGAAGCAGGTAAAACAAATACTGAACAGCCTCATGGAAACATATGCTAAAGACATAACATTCTGAAATTGCTACTTAGACGTCTTTCACACGACTGATGGCCAGTGACATTTCACTAGAGAATGGTGTTTTGAGTTGCTAGGGATGGTAAAGATTAGCAGCCTACCAGTGTGTTTAGCACAAAAAATGTTTTTAAGTAAATAATTTTAAGTAGGTAAATAGAGGTGGTAGAACTCAATCAGACACATAAAAGAACAATTTAAGAACTCATACCTGCCCTTTATCAAAGAGGGATGCCAGGTTCAAGCCTTGAGATAGAATTATTAAGTCGAATGCATTAAGAATCAAAGGACCCGTATCATTGTTCCTGGATTGCTCGTTGGCACATTGTTCCTATGGCAAGCCATATTTATGTTACGAATGAGAATTGAAAGTAAAAATTAGTCACAGACGTAAACAAACAGACCTAAGAAATGCATTACTAGTTTTATTCTTTTATGCAACTCAAAAGTTGAAGTCATCCTTAACTGGATCTTAAATTAAGTGATACAGAACAGAAAAAGAATGATTTCCATTTCCTATATATCTGTAATTTGTCAGTCCTTCAGCCAAAAAAGGAGAAAAGCCTTTTTTTTGTCAGTAAAGGAAATTAGTGCTTAGCTATTGCAAAAACCAAAAAGGAACTGCAATGAGCTTTTTCATTGAAAAATATTGTACTCTATTAACCATATGGACTCAAAGAATCCATTTGGAAGGTCAGAACACACCATTGACCTTGACATTCAAAACCAAAAAAATTATTTTAAATATTAAGAGGGTCTCAAAATATTTATAATATATACAGACATACTGCAACAACAAAACTTATTAAAGAAAATCATTAAGCTTCCAACAAAACCAAATGTTACTGAAGCTTCGAAAACTCTACCAACCTCAGGATCATAAAAAATGGCATTTACATCATCCAGATTAATATCTTCATACTCAATAAGTCTGACAGGAACATAATCCTTCTTAAACCATTCGTCACTTTTGATTTCTTCAATTGTAATACGCTGCAGAGAGGGAGAGAGAAAGAGAGAGTTATTCAATATACAATCAGAACAATTCAATATACAATCAGAACAAACAAAATACATCTGAGCCATTAGTGAAGTGTGTAGATCGGATGAAAAGAATGCCATATCAAACGGTAAAAGGAAGATCCACTATGAGACTAGAATAGTTCATACTTGCACTGGGGTTCAATCATGAAGGTTGATTGAAGGTCATATGCAAGACTGTGAAGGTAGAAAATTGTCCCCCAGATTCTGCAACAGTGGATTCAGAAGCTGAGCACATAACAATGTCTACTCTAAACCATTGGCCAATTCAGGCTCATTACAATCCATCTTTTACATCATTATTCTTTTTGGTGGAAGTACTCAAGCTTGCTTATTTAGTTATTCATTCAACTAATTTGGTTTGAATAGGAAAAATGTGTCTCCTCTTACATGGTTTGAAGTTTATTTTAAATATTTGGAATTAGAAAAGTAGATGGCATGAAATAAATCAAAAAATAAACGTGAACACCAATACAAAACTTAGATATGTTGAGCAGTCTTCAGGCTCTATCATAGAAAAGACAACCTTGGGCCAGCAAAAACTTAAGCTTGATGTAACGGAAAATAAGGAAAGAAAGAAAAAGAACATACCACTTGAGGATTTGGATCCAGAATTCTGTGTATTAAGGATCTTGCTCCCACTGGAAACCATGACGGACAAGAAAATTCTGCCTTGGCAATCTGCAAATCAAATGAATTCCAGTTGTTCTGTAAGACCAACACTGAAATTTCAAAATCTCAGGTGACAACCACGAATAAGAAGCAAACACAAAATAACCATAAACCAGAAATTATGATGAAATTTCATGCCTTACTGTATAACAAGGTGATATCAACATCATCAAATGGAAGATAACCTGCCAACAAAACATAAAGGATGACCCCACAGGACCAAACATCTGCAATAGTGCCAACATAACCCTTGCGACTAAGAACCTATAGCAAAAATGAAATATTGATTAGAAGAATGGTAACTGAATGAATGACATCAGCAATCCAATTTAGTTCTATTTCACTCTATAGCCAAGCTGATCATGATTACCTCTGGGGCCACATAGTTCGGGGTCCCACATGTTGTCCGCAGGAGGCTAACACCCTGAAGATAAATATGACAAGAAAATTAGTTGATAACACACTGCTATTATTTCTCTCAACAACTATATGTCAAATTTAAAATAAAAACAGCACCAATTCTAGATTAATATCTTACTTGTTCAGGCTGGGCACTAAGACCAAAATCTGAAATCTTTAAATTCCCTTGGGAATCAAGTAAAAGGTTTTCTGGCTGCATGAAATGGGAAACAATTCTAAGAAACAAACAAAATGGAAATGTTAAAACAAAACAGCATTCAAGATGTTAGCAAGATAATACCTTTAGATCTCTGTGGTAGACTCCCTTACTATGGCAATAATCCACACCATCAATAAGTTGTTGGAAGTATCCTCTAGCTTCAGCTTCACTAAGACGTCCACACTGAACCTGCATAATTCATAGTTAAATTCCACCATTATCAATAATCAAGAAAAAAGTATCAAATTCCACAATTACAAAACAGCTCAAGCACTTGTATTCCAAGTTAGTCTACTCACTATTTTATCAAACAATTCACCACCAGTAATGTACTCCAAAATTATATAAATCTTAGTCCGGCTCGCTAAAACCTGATAGATGACAATTACATGTTAATATAGCACATATCACTGAAAAAACACATAAAGCAAATTTGATTAAAAAAGAAAAAAAAAAAATTCCTTACCTCGTGGAGACGAACAACATGAGGATGTCTAACAAGTTTCATTATAGATATCTCCCTCTTTATCTACACTTAATGAACCAAAAAAGTGAGAAAATTAAAATCATACCAAAGCTTAAATGACTATGATCATATTAAATGCAAATTACATTTCTTTTGCTGAAACTTCAACTCAAGGCATAAATTATGAATCAAATCGTTTCAGAATTTGAGAATTTATGTGCCCGCCGGCCGGTGAGTTTTGAAGACAGAACAAGAAACTAAAAAAGCGAGAAAGAAGTGAAAATTACGAACCTGATCGACCATTTTGTGCTTGATGATGGTACTGCGATCGAGAACTTTAAGTGCCACGCTCTCGCCAGTCTCCGTGTTCTGCGCGAACTTCACCTTGGCGAACGTTCCTTCTCCGATAGTCCTTCCGATTTCATACTTGCCTACCTTCCTCACCACCATTTTCACCTCTTCCTGAAGCTAATTTCTTCCCAATCGCTTCAATCTTCTCATTCCACTTCCCCTCTCTCTCTCTTTGCGGAATCAGAGAAAAGAGAGACTTTTAGGATTAGAAATTCAGCAGAAAATGCCAGGCTTTAATACCACACGCTTTAAAATCACTGAATACAGCTTAAAGGCAGGAATTTATAAATAAATTAATGAACAAAAAGCAAATGCGAAAGCAAAAGAACGTAAAGGTTAGGCAACAAGCTGGAATTATTGTTTGGGACTATTTAATTTTGAAAAGAAAATATTTATATTCCGAGAGTGAAGAATTTATTAGGGGATTTGGGAGGGATTAGGTTTGGTAAGATGAGATAATCAAAGTTATTAGTGGTGGATTTTACAAAGAGAACTTTTGTTGGGTGGATATCACCCTGCGTTGACTACCTATTTCTTGATTGATTATTGTTTAAATTACATAATTTTTTATTTAATATATGATATAATTATTTTTTAAAAATAATTTGGTAGTTGTTAGACTTTGAATTTGAATGCTACTTTTCATACTATATGGTAGGTTCGATTTAAGGTTAGTTTTACTTTAAAAGTTTTTATTTAAAATAATTAAGAAAATATGATACAAAAGACTTTTTTTTTTTTCAAACTAAATAGATTATAAATATAATAAGAGATTAGTACATATTAAATTTGAATTTAAAAAATAATTGAAATTTTAACCTACATATGAAAATTGAAATTTTATTCTATTAAATAATTATATTTAAATTTATAAACTTATTATATATTCTAATATATTAATATTTAAGAAGATAATTTTTTAAATTTTGAATTGAATTTTAATTAGATAAAATAATATACTTTGAAATTAAAACTCTAATTATTTTGAGAATCAAAATGATATGTAATTTTCTCATATAAAAATATCATTACCTAAAATATTATTAAGATTAGGCACAACTGGAATTATTATTTGAGATTATTTAATTTTTTTTATTAACTTTTCGATATTTTATAATTATATTGAGTATCAATTAATTTAGAGTAAAGTCGAGTTAAACCCTATTAAAAGAAAAACTCTTTTAACATCTATTTTTTCATTTACAGTACTCAAACTTAAATTTTTATTTTAAAAAAAACTCAGTTTTTTATTTTAAAACAACGGAAGTTGGTTGAGATTATTTAATTTTGAAAGGGAAATATTTATATTCCGAGAGTGAAGAATTTATCAGGGGATTTGGAGGGGTTGGGTTTGGTAAGA